CCCGGCTGACCAAAATAAAATATGTGGGGCTGGGGGTATTTAGGAGAGAAATAAAGGGAAAAGAGAGGACAGAATTGGGGTTGCTTGCAATCTCAGCTCCCCCCCCCCCACCCGTCTCCCCCCACCAAAATCAAACAACCTGCCAATGCTCACAGTCAAGTTCCTCTCACAAACAGCCATCAGGAACAGAGTGGGGTTGGGGGCAAGCGACACACACAGAGAGAGGGAGAGAGAGAGAGAGAGAGAGAGAGAGAAAGAGAGAAGGGTGGGGGGGGGGGGTGGGTGGAAGAGGAGAAAAAAGTTCATTTTTAGTTTGAAATATTACTCGATCCATCTCACCCATCCCTGGAGGGAAGGCTGAGCACCGAGATCAAAGGAGACAGAGGCAGAGAGTTCAGACGAGTCCTTCAGAGCGACGGGTGATTAATACTCGAAGCTTTAAAACTAAGGCGATTGAATGAGATCTTACTGGAGGAACACCTCCAACAAAGAGCGTGGCTATTCATACAGTAGAAAAGTCTTTGTCAGCACAATGGTGGGATGTTTTGCTTTGTGCGGGGTCTGTGGTGCGTGGCTTGAATAGCCGAAATTCAGAATATCCCTTTCTGTGGCCTATGGCTATGGTATGTAGTCTCCGGTATTTTTTTCTCTCTTAACTTTTTTTGTGAGATTTCGCAGATCGAAATCTATCCCCCCCCCCCACCCCCGCACCCCCCAAACCGTTGGCACTTTGCAGCTGAAAAATCGTGGGATCTTGATGAAGAGGAACCAAGGCTTAGTTGGTGGATTTTTCCTATTCACTGGAGAGTTTGTTTTGGGGGGGGGGGCAAAGGGGCCTGTCGTTACACCCCGAACTCACCCACCCACCCCAAAATTAGGCCCGTCAGTCAACGGATAATCCCTTCCAACGCCGCGCCCCTCCTAACCGCCGCAACGACTTACATAAGCGCCCCTCGCGCAGGTTAGCGCCCCAAAGCGCTCGACAGTGGTGGAGTGCGACGCTGAGCCGGGCAGGGGGTATGGGGGGGTGGGGGGGAGCGGGGTGACCGTAAGCGGACATCTCAATGCGCTTCGCGGGGATTTTTGCGGGTGAAACGCGGGCAGCCAGTCGCGCGCAGTGGTGTGCCACAAACAGCGGTGAAGGGAATGACTCATTTTTTTTATTGGGGATGTGGGGGAGGAGGTGGTGGTGGGGGGGGGGGGGGGTTTGTTGGCTGTGCAAATCCGCCTGCGGAGGACTGACTGTGTAACAATGGCTAAACTTTACCTATTAGTTTTGACCCCTGCATGATCTCCGGCCTCTTATGTAGTGAAAGGATCAACTCCAGGTTACGTCCCACAATGGAATATTTTAATAAAAGTTTTTTTTGGGGGTGGGGGGGGGAAAAAAACTTACAATGCCCCAATTTTCAATTGATATTTGTGGTATATTTCTTGCCATAATTCAAGTGTATGGTTCACTTATAGCTTCCCCCCCACCCCTCCCACTACACCCCCCAAACGCCACACACACACACACTATCTAAATCTTTGAACGGAGAACACTGGTTTGTTGTTCCTCTGGGGTCAGTTAGGGGTTGGGTGGGCTGCGTTTAAGGGGGGTTGGTGGGGGTGCGTTGGGGGCGCAGTGCGCTCGGGGCCTTAAAGGAGCAGGGCAAAAGTTTCGGGCAAACTTCTGTCGGGCGGGCTGGAGGGAGGGAGGGGACACACGGCAGAGTGAAGAGGCATAAGGGAGTCATATCCAGCAAAGAGGAATTGGTGTGCAAGCTCACTGAGGATTGCATTTTCCCCGCTTTTTTTTATTAAAATGTATTTGATTTTTCTTTTAAAAAAGTTGTCATCAGCTAATAATACCGTCCCCCACCCACCCACCCATCCACGCACACACTCACTCACTCACACACCCTCCCCCACCCCCACAAACTTTTCAAGAGGACAGTACACCTTTAAAGGTAAAATGTAGGTCAGACAACTTAAGTCTTGGGTGTTTTCTGTAGCTACTGTTAAAACAGCCGGAGTGGGAAGGATTAGCTGGCATTTCTGCAGGTCTATATTGTGTATTATATACAGGACTGTACATGGGGACATTGCCGTGCGCAATTGGCTGCCTCGTTCGCCCACAATTTTAATACGCACCCAACCCACTTTACAATCTAGCCTGGGAAGCGCTTTATGAGAAGTCTCAACGACGTGGTAAGGCGTGGTCAAACAATTATTATTATTATTATTATTATTACACACACACTATACGCACACACCGCGCGCGTGTGTATATGCGCGTGCGCCCGCGCGCGTGGTGTGTGTTTGAGCGTGTAAAAAGTTTGCGGATTCTCCTCACGCTCAAATGCTCGTGGCTACATGGTTTAAAAAAAAACCTGCTCGGAACAAAGAAAGCTTTTTATGGGTGACAGCAGGTGTGCACTGCTCAGCCCCACTGTACACAGAGCTGTTAGAAAAGAAGCTTTATATCATTCTGGGCTTCTCCGGCTTCCAGGTGTCACCTGGGCAACTGAAACGGCTTTCATCCTTTGTTTAAAACTACAAGATCTCTCCCTCCCCTCTCCCCAAAGGAGGAAGTTCTGCCTCTCCGGGTGCAGCCAAGGAAGACAGGAGAGCTCCATCTTGTTCAGGCAGTACACTGCTCCAGCTTTGCTATACGGCACAACATCCATTATTACATGGGCTCGTCGTACATTTCCGTCCATCAACACTTCCACTGCGCCTATTGTCTAACACCTTTAAAGGGTGCTAAGGAATTCATCCCTTTAAGGTTCACGTCGGGACTTTTTGAGCTCACGGCTCAGGCTGACACTCCAGTGCAGCGCTGGGGTGGGTGGGGGGTGGTTTGCATTGCATTGTCGGAGGTGCTTTACGTCCCTCTTTCGGTGCAATATCTTCAGCAGAGACGCAGTCACACAAGCGCCGTACGCTTAAAAGTTCATTCCCTCTGTGCGCAAACGTAGGGTGACCGGTAGATTGCTTCGCTTCCCTCAAAGAGTGGATCAATACTGTAAATCCACCGTTACTTGCTCAATCAGACGCGTTGGTATTTTACCTCAATCAATAACCTTTCTGCGACCAGTGTTGCAACGACAACAACAGGTTGCATTTGGTCAGCATCCTGTCGTTGCAGGAGAGTGTCTCGGAGGCTGCACGGTGACATGGCTGGGGGCGGGGGGTGGGAGGGTTAGGGTTTAGACCGCGAGCGAGGTCGAACAGGGAGGGAGGTGACCACAGGCGCAGTCGATAGAGGTGGGTCTCAAGGAGGGGATTTAAAGATGGGACGTTTCAGACATTAGAAGCTGCCCTTATAATAAACGACCCTCACATTCAATACAGAGCCTCTTCTTAAATAGCTCTGTGGGATCTTTCACATCCACCCGAAAGGGCACAGCCTGGATCTGGGGTCTAATGTCTCACCTCCAGCGAATGCATCGCACGCAACACCCCACCCACTTTTCCCTTCTATCTCCCCCTGCTCCTCCCCCACACACCCCCAGCACTGCATTGGAGCATTGCGTTACATTCTGCGCTGCATTCAATCCTGCCAATTAGTTCAGGAAGAAAAGCAGATGAGGTAATGTAATCCCATCTGAAAAGGGCCGCACATAAAGGGAGGGCCTGGAGGAAACCGTGACCATAGTTTATTGAGTCTGATAATCATTTAACAGCAGCACAGATAACACTGTAAGTGCCTGTATTCCTGGCCACTCACTCAGACAGGAATACCTGGATCATAAATCAGGCAGTTCTGAGCTCGGCAACACCACAGCCTTTTGTGTTGCACAATTTTATATCTCTTTATTGTGAGGGAGGTCATTCTGTACTGTGGGCGGCTGGCTTCCTTATTGCCAGGACTTTGGATTCTCGACGTTTTCCGATAAATTAGCGGGAATCAAATAAAGAAAAAGGTTTGCATCGCAGCGACCACACACTGGGCCACACTGGGCAGTGAACCAAACGACAGGTCTACACGGAGTTGGTAGATCGCAGAGGTAGGGAGGAGCGAGGCTGTGGAGGGCTTTGAAGGTGAGGACGAGGACTTTTGAGCTCTATCCCTGGAGGATGGGGAGCCAGGGGAGCCGGGTGGGGCGGGGATGGGATGGGATGGGGGAGATAGGGTCACAGGTGCAGGAGAGGACACTGAATGATCTGCGGCTTACGGAGGGAAGAGTTGGGAAGAGCGATGAGCAGGGAGTTTGCGTGAAGAATGACCACTTAAGTCAATACTAGAGGGCAAACAGCTGTTGGGTAACCACACCTGAGCTTGAGTCAGTGCCTTCAGGAGGCGAGGGAGGTAAATTGAAGGGGTGTGTGCATGCGTTCGCCTATGGGATGGGGGGCTCCAACACACGAAAAAAACAAGGTTTGCTCGCTCACAGGGTGCGGAGTTGCTCTCTCTCTCTGCCTTGTACAGCTCATCGTAAGGTAATGAGCCGTTTCACACAAAGGTTTTTGGGGTGGATTTAAACGTGAGGTATTTTCACCGCGGTGTATCAAAGAACAATTGAACAATTAAAATCAGTTTTTAATGCGCAAACACCCCCTCTTCTCCTCTATCCCCATCATCACCCTCCTTCCCTCCCTTTTCTCCTCCTCACCCTCGGGTATACAGAGCGCACAGCAAACTTACCCTCAACAACAACAAGTGACATTTACGCAGCGCCTTTCATGTTGGGAGGAGGTCCCAAGGGGCTGGACAGTCAGGGATTTGCATCCGAACTGAGGGCTCTATCCTATGTATCATATAATATATGAGAACAATATTCTGATCTCTCAAGTCAAGGTCCTCCTCGTCTGGTCAAGTTTGCCAACAAAACGCACAGTCACTACACTTTACAATACGTCTCTGAGACGTCCTCCCGATATGAAGGGTGCTGTGTCAATTGCCGGGATAGTCTAGGCTGAAACTAAACACAGTGCTGGGGGCTGCATTACATTGTTGGAGGTGCCGTGCTTCGGATGAGAGATTAAACAGAGCTCCCGAGTCTGACTGTTACCTGTACGATCTCCCCCTCGGCGCTGATGGTGGCCCCCGCCCGGGAGAACCTTCCCTGGAGGTCGGTGGTGAAGGTGGTGTACTCCCCGTTCAGACTCGACTCGTACAGCACCACTTCCACGAAGGCGGTCTCCTTGGCGCCGACCCCCGGCCCCAGAGCGCTGCCCACCAGCACCGCCACCGCCACGGCCGCCGCCAGAGCCCGCGCGCCGCCGCCAGAGCCCCGCGCAGAGCCCCGCACAGAGCCCCGCGCGCCGCCCCGCACACCGCCGCCGCCCCGCAACCTCATCGTCCCGCTTCAGGCAGCGCCGACCCTGACATGGTTTCCAATGGTGGCCGCGGGGGTCCCGATCGATGCCGTTCGTTTCCCTTCTTCCCTTTCTTTGCTGTGATTTTTTTTTCTCTCTCTCACTCTCTTCTCTTCTTCTTCTTCTTTTTCCTCTTCTTCTTTTTTTTCTTCTTCTTCTCTCTTTCTCCTTCTTCTCTTTCCTCTCTCTCTCTCTCTGTGTGTGTCTGTGTGTGTGTGTTCCTTCTCGGTTGCTTCTTTTAACAAGTTTTTTCTCCCCTCTCCTCTCTCTCTCTCTCTCTCTGTTTTTCTTTCTCTCTCTATCTATCTCTCTCTCTCTCTATCTGTCTGTCTGTCTGTCTCTCACGTTCTCTCCTTCTCGGTTGCAAGTTTTTCCCCTTCTCTTTTCTCCACTTGAGGGTGTGATTTTTTCCCCCTTCTCTCTCTCTCTCTCTGTCTGTCTCTCTCTCTTCCCCCTCTCTCTCTCTTCCCCCTCTCTCTCTGTTCCCCCTCTCTCTCTGTCTCTCTCTCTTTCTGTCTCTCTCTCTTCCCCTCTCTCTCTGTCTCTCTCTCTCCTCTCTCTCTTCTCCCTCTCTCTCTGTCTCTCTCTTCTCTCTCTCTCTGAGTCTCTCTCTCTCTCTTTTCCCCTTCTCTTTTTCCCCAAATTGAGAGTGTGATTTTTTTCCCTTCTCTCTCTCTCCCTCTCTCTCACGTTCTGCTTTCTTCTCTCCCTCCCTCTCTCCCTCCCTTCTCTCTCTCCTTTGCAAGTATTTTCCTCTCTCTCTCTCTCTCTCTCCTAATTTTTTCTCTTATCTTCCTTTTTCCTCTTCTATTTGTGTCGCTTTGGGGGGGTTTCCCCCCTCCTTTGCCTTGTTGCTGATTTCTTTTCTTTTAACTCTCTCTTCCCCCCCTCCTTGTCTCTCTCTCTCTCTTTTTCTCACTCCTCTAGTCTCTCTCCTTTCTTTTTCTCTCCCCCCCCCACTCTTTTCCCCCCCCCTCCCCTTCTTCCCCTCCTCTTTTTCCTTCTCCCCCTCCTTTGCTGCCTGTAGAAGAGGGAGAGAGAGAGAGAGAGAGAAAGTAAGAGAGAGGGAGAAGAGGGGATTGGTGTTGTGAAGGGGGGGGGGGGAGAAAGAGGTGTAAAGCAAGAAAGAGGGGGTGGAGGGGGGGGGGAGAGAGAGATAATAAAAGCTGAAAGCTTTGCACTTGGATGTCTGTGGATGTATCTGTTGCACTATTCCCCAATGCTTGTCAATTTCACAAGCTCCAGCACTCTCTAAGCTCTCTCTCTCTCTCTCTCTCTCACTCACACATTCTCTCTCTCTCTCTCTCTTTTCCCCCCATCAACTCTTCCCCCCCCCCCCCAAAAAAAACTCTGCAAAAGAAGGCTACAGCTTTGATCTTACACGTGATCCTTCCAAAGGTTATTCCCACCCACAAATTTCCCTGACCCCCTTCACTTTTTTTACACACACACTCTCTGACTATTAAGCACAAGTTTTCCAGGAGATTTCTTTCCCTCCCCACCTTTTAACGAACTGAGACACAGGGCTAAATGCACACACACACACACTACACTACACACTACACTACAATACACACACCCACTGCAACACAGACACTACATCTCACACACACACACACACACACACAAATCCTGACACAGATTTTGCAAAGCTTTTTTTTTGTGTGTGTGTATGTGTGTCAATAGCATTGCTCTTTCTCTCTCTCTCTCTCTCTCTCCCACACACACACACTCGTCTTAAGAAAGCGTGCAAAAAGTTGGCAAACTTTATAGCCAGGCATGGTAGTGCGTAGATTTTTGTGGTTGTTGTCCTAGGAAGGAAATTCCACTTGAATCCCCCCCCCCCCCCCCTCCACCCCACCACACACCACCACCCCACTCCCCTTCTCTCTCTCCCCTTCTCCAAATAAAAACTTTTTCCCAAACTCTAATGCTTTCAAGTTCTTCCACTCACACCCACCGACACACACACACACACACCGCCTTCTATGCGTAGAACATTATTAAAGGGGGCGAAGTGGTTGGGTTTTACTTTCTTCGCTGATGATTTGATTGTGCTTTGGGGTCGGTTGTGTGGCTAAAGTGTATTTTTTTTAATGTGTTTTTTTTGAATGATTTAGAGACACTGATACCTGTAAAAAGAAGTATCGTGTTAATGTAGATTGAAAGTTGAACACTTTATGGAAGGGAAATGCATACACACAAGTATACACACTGACAAACACACGAGTATACACACTGACAAACACACGAGTATACAGACTGACAAACACCCAATATACACACTGACAAACACACACACACAAATATATTATCATATGCATAAAATGACACGCACCCAAACACATGCATGCACACGCACACGCACACAAGCAAACCCAGACATTCACACACGCGAGTATACACACCTAAACACACACACGAACATATGATAATCACATGCACAAAATGACACACACACACACGTATACAAACACACACACATACAAGAACAACAAGATCATGCACCAACGTACGCAGACATACATACGTGCACAAACTAATACACGCAAAAACATACCCACATACATACCAAAACACTGCACATAGAACACGCAAGCCAGGGTTCCGAAGCAGAATTACGGAACTGCACACTTATAACGTGGTCAATGGAAAGTCCTCCGATAAATCCAGTGATTCTGAATTTGTTTAACACGACTCACGCCTCTGTTTAAGGCAAAATGAACCTCTCTGAAGCCGCTCTCGGTTTCATCCAATAATTAGGCCAAAGTATACCCTCCTCTCCCTCTCGTGTGTCTGTAACTGGATTATTGAGGATTACTTATACATTGTATCAGTAGATCAGTAGATACAATATATATTATATATTGCATCAGAATATATTGTATCAGTAGATACAATTGTATCAGAATATATTGTATCAGTAGATGCAATTGTATCCGAATATATCGGTAGATACAATTGTATCCGAATATATTGTATCAGGAGACACAATATACATTTGACTGTATATTTTGTGAGTGAAACTGGTGGTAACGGAGATAAAGTACCAATACAATAGAGACAAAAATTATTTTTCGTTCACAAAAGTTATAGATGTTGATAGTCATCTGATATGACGTTGTTGAACACGTGCACCTGGACGGACTGATGGAGTCTTGGTTTCACGTCTCGTCTGAAGGAAGCCCACACCTTCAACGGTGCAACACCTCCCCGGCGCTGTATTGGAGTGTTAGCCTCGGCTGATCACAAAATCTCTACCTGAGGGGGGGGTTTGAACCCCAAACCATTTTTTTTGTGTGATCAGCCGGGTGTCTGACACGTGCGGAAACCCATCACCGTTGCTTAAGAGTCTGCAAACCGAGCTGAGAATTCCATACATAATAATAATAATAATAATCCTTGCATTTGATATAGCGCTTTTCACGTCGGGAGGACGTCCCAAAGCGCTTCACAGAATACACTGTAAAGTGAATTGACTGTATATTTGTGGGCGAATGCGGCAGCCAATTGCGCACAGCAATGTCCCACAAACAGTCGTAGATTGAAAATGACCAATTTATTATTGTTTTTGGTTTTGGAGGGATTATTATTAGGCTCTGTGTGGAGTAAGGAAACTTGCCCAAGGTTTCGCCCTCTGCCTGGAATTGATCTCAGGTCTCTCACTTGCAAAGCGAGTGCTCTAACCACTGAGCTACAGGACTCCACATCCCATCTACACGTGAAAATCCCAGAGATAGATTGTTGGAGTGAAACGCACACTCTCTCTCTCTCTCTCTCTCTCTCTCTCTCTCTCCCTGGAGGGACGCAGCCTGCTTACCTAATTCTGGAAAGGATTGGTCGGCAAGAGCCAAGGCTCGGGGGAAACCCCAGAGTGTGCGTTGGGGGTAACTGCTGGAGTCTAACCAGCTAAAAAATGCATTGCTTGCCATTGACGGCACTGTCTGACAAGCTTTCCGCTGCTTGTCCAGCTGGGACCACCCTACCCATCAGTTTGTCTTGCTGTTGACTTTGATCCAATACCGTAGGGCCACATGCACAGTAGCTTCAGTTGGGGGGTGCGGGCGGAGAGGGTGGGGAGGGGGGGAGGTGTGGTGGGGGGAGAGAGGGAGAGTGTACATATTTGTGGTTAAGCTTTTTCCTGCAGTTACACGTTGTGATATGGCGCTCAACTCCTTTCGCACACATGAGTTGCCCAATTGTGCCCACGTGAAGACCAGATCGATGTGTAACTTTTATCACGATTGCCACAGAGTAACTGCAGACCTTTGTATTGCTCAGTCTCTGATGTTACAGCACTGCAGTGACCAATTTACAGCCTTACCTTGTAAATAAAAAAAATGCAAACATTGAACAACCCGGCTCATTAAACCATAAAAAAAATCTACTGTATCTAGATTTCTCTTTTTATATGTAGGCCACATACACATTCGCATTGGATCTGAATCTGTACACTTAAAAGCACTGTTTTATGACCTCCGTTAAAGTTTATTGAAGTTATAAAGGCAATTTTGTTTTTGTTTCCCTTGCTGATTGCAGTTTGTAGGAGCTATTATTGATGTGTGGCGGCTTCATTTGTTAGTGTTAGTAACAGCGATAATCAGCAACTTTCAGAAAGGATGGTCCTTTTAATTCTTATAAAAGCTTGCCAATTACAGCTAGAGAAGATAATAACAATAATAATAATAATAATAATAATAATAATCCTTGCATTTGATACAGTGCCTTATTAGGTCGTCGAGACGTCTCAAAGGATTTGTGTATTTTGGTGCCGAACAAGGCAATTATTTCGCTTGTAGCAAAATCCCGTAAGCCATGAAGCGAGTGACCTATTTAATAGGATAGGATAGCAAAGCTGTAGATGGAACAAATTACATTTACAC